GTGTGACGGCGACCCCGTCACGCAAACGCCATGCACAGCGCGCATGCGTGGCGGCGCCCCCAAGAGGTGCGCCCGCCACGCGCATGCGCGGCGCCACCCCCAAAATGAAACTCTCACCTGATATAATATAGTTTAATGCAGCGGTTCTCGTTTGTGTGACGGCGACCCGTCACACAAACGCCATGCACAGCGCGCATGCGCGGCGCCACCCCCAAAATGAACTCTCACCTGATATAATATAGTTTAATGCAGCGGTTCTCGTTTGTGTGACGGCGACCCCGTCACACAAACGCCATGCACAGAGGCGCCCCCCATGCGCCCCCCAGAGGCGCCCCCCATGCGCAGCATTTCCCCTTGCTGTAGGCCCCATCCGGCCTGTCGATCCCGTTGCTGCGGGGCTCTCTGCTGCTGGACGCGTAGAACACATGCGCGGCGCCACCCCCCAGAGGCGTGCCGCCCCCCCATGCACGGCGCACATGCGTGGCGCCGCCCCCCAGAGGCGCCCAGCCATGTAAAACATAATCACCCGTCACACAAACGTCATGCGCGTCGCGCATGCGCGGCACCTCCCCCGGAGGCGCGCCGCCCCCACGTGCGACGCGCATGCACGGCGGCACCCCCCAGAGACGCGCCGCCCCCCATGCACGACGCGCATGCGCGGCGCCGCTCCCCAGAGGCGCGCCACCCCCCTTGCACGGCACGCATGCGCGGCGCCGCTCCCCAGAGGCGCCCAGCCATGTAAAACATATTATAATCACCCGTCACACAAACGTCATGCGCGTCGCGCATGCGCGGCACCTCCCCCGGAGGCCCGCCGCCCCCACGTGCGACGCGCATGCGCGGTGGCACCCCCCAGAGACGCGCCGCCCCCCCATACACGACGCGCATGCGCGGCGCCACTCCCCAGAGGCGCGCCACCCCTCTTGCACGGCACGCATGCGCGGCGCCGCCCCCCAGAGGCGCCCAGCCATGTAAAACATATTATAATCACCCGTCACAAACGTCATGCGCGTCGCGCATGCGCGGCACCTCCCCCGGAGGCGCGCCGCCCCCACGTGCGACGCGCATGCGCGGCGGCACCCCCGAGACGCGCCGCCCCCCCATGCACGACGCGCATGCGCGGCGCTTCCCCCCAGAGGCGCGACACTCCCCCAATATATACCTGTGCTGACACAGACATCCCCTAAAAGTTGCTGAAGATGTTACCTAGTCTGGTAAGAATCGTTTGAAGCCAACCCACAAACTCCAAGGATGAACACTCCCCAGAGGCGCGCCCCCCATTCACGGCGCGCATGCGCGGCGTCGCCCCCCAGAGGCGCCCAGCCATTTAAAACATATTATAATCACCCGTCACACAAACGTTATGTGCGGCGCGCATGCGCGGCACCACCCCCGGAGGCGCGCCGCCCCACGTGCAGCGCGCATGCGCAGTGACGCCCCCCAGAGACGCGCCGCCCCCATGCACGGCGCGCATGGGCGGCGCCAACCCTGGAGGCGCGGCGGTGCCCCCATGCGCTTCCTCCCAGAGACGCGACACCCCCCCAATATATACCTGTGCTGACACAGACATCCCCTAAAAGTTGCTGAAGATGTTACCTAGTCTGGTAAGAATCGTTTGAAGCCAACCCACAAACTCCAAGGCTCTCTGCTGCTGGACAGCAGGGGCTGGTGGTGCCCCCAGTTACTGTTGGCCCCATTGCTGCGGGGCTCTCTGCTGTTGACGTGGTGCCCCCAGTTGCAGTTGGCCCCACCCAGCCTGCTGATCCAACGGCTGCGGGGCTCTCAGTAGTCGGCGTGGCGCCCCCTGCTGCAGTTGGTTCCACCGCCAGAGGCGCACCGCCCCCATGCGCAGCGCGCATGCGCAGTGCCGCCCCCCGGAGGCGTGGCACCCCCCCATGCACGGCGCGCATGCGCAGCGCTACCCCTGGAGGCGCGGGACCGCCCCCACGCGTAAAACGCATGCGCGGCGCCGCCCCCAGAGGCGTGCCGCCCCCCCATGCACAGCGCACATGCGCGGCGCGCCCCCCAGAGGCGCGCCCCCCCCTGCACGGCGCGCATGCGCGGCAGCGCCCCCCAGACGCGCCGCCCCCATGCACGATGCACATCTGCGGCGGCGCCCCCAAGAGGTGCGCCCCCCACGCGCAGCGCGCATGCGCAGCACCACCCCCAAAATAATGAACTCTCTTCTGATATAATATAGTTTAATGCAGCGGTTCTCGTTTGTGTGACGGCGCCCCCGTCACAGAAACGCCATGCACAGCGCGCATGCGTGGCGGCGCCCCCTTGCCGCCCCCCGGAGGCGTGGCACCCCCCCATTCACGGCGCGCATGCGCAGCGCTACCCCCGGAGGCGCGGGACCGCCCCCACGCGTAAAACGCATGCGCGGCGCCGCCCCCAGAGGCGTGCCGCCCCCCATGCACAGCGCACATGCGCGGCGCGCCCCCCAGAGGCGCGCCCCCCCTGCACGGCGCGCATGCGCGGCAGCGCCCCCCAGAGACGCGCCGCCTCCATGCAAGGCGCGCATCTGCGGCGGCTCCCCCAAGAGGTGCGCCCCCACACGCAGCGCGCATGCGCAGCGCCACCCCCAAAATAATGAACTCTCTTCTGATATAATATAGTTTAATGCAGCGGTTCTCGTTTGTGTGACGGCGACCCCGTCACGCAAACGCCATGCACAGCGCGCATGCGTGGCGGCGCCCCCAAGAGGTGCGCCCGCCATGCGCATGCGCGGCGCCACCCCCAAAATGATGAACTCTCTTCTGATATAATATAGTTTAATGCAGCGGTTCTCGTTTGTGTGACGGCGACCCCGTCACGCAAACGCCATGCACAGCGCGCATGCGTGGCGGCGCCCCCAAGAGGTGCGCCCGCCACGCGCGTGCGCGGCGCCACCCCCAAAATGAACTCTCACCTGATATAATATAGTTTAATGCAGCGGTTCTCGTTTGTGTGACGGCGACCCGTCACACAAACGCCATGCACAGCACGCATGCCCGGCGGCGCCCCGAAGAGGTGCGCCCCCCCACGCGCCACGCGCATGCGCGGCGCCACCCCCAAAATGAACTCTCACCTGATATAATATAGTTTAATGCAGCGGTTCTCGTTTGTGTGACGGCGACCCCGTCACACAAACGCCATGCACAGAGGCGCCCCCCATGCGCCCCCCAGAGGCGCCCCCCATGCGCAGCATTTCCCCTTGCTGTAGGCCCCATCCGGCCTGTCGATCCCGTTGCTGCGGGGCTCTCTGCTGTTGGACGCGTAGAACACATGCGCGGCGCCACCCCCCAGAGGCGTGCCGCCCCCCCATGCACGGCGCACATGCGTGGCGCCGCCCCCCAGAGGCGCCCAGCCATGTAAAACATAATCACCCGTCACACAAACGTCATGCGCGTCGCGCATGCGCGGCACCTCCCCCGGAGGCGCGCCGCCCCCACGTGCGACGCGCATGCACGGCGGCACCCCCCAGAGACGCGCCGCCCCCCATGCACGACGCGCATGCGCGGCGCCGCTCCCCAGAGGCGCGCCACCCCCCTTGCACGGCACGCATGCGCGGCGCCGCTCCCCAGAGGCGCCCAGCCATGTAAAACATATTATAATCACCCGTCACACAAACGTCATGCGCGTCGCGCATGCGCGGCACCTCCCCCGGAGGCCCGCCGCCCCCACGTGCGACGTGCATGCGCGGTGGCACCCCCCAGAGACGCGCCGCCCCCCCATACACGACGCGCATGCGCGGCGCCACTCCCCAGAGGCGCGCCACCCCTCTTGCACGGCACGCATGCGCGGCGCCGCCCCCCAGAGGCGCCCAGCCATGTAAAACATATTATAATCACCCGTCACAAACGTCATGCGCGTCGCGCATGCGCGGCACCTCCCCCGGAGGCGCGCCGCCCCCACGTGCGACGCGCATGCGCGGCGGCACCCCCCAGAGACGCGCCGCCCCCCCATGCACGACGCGCATGCGCGGCGCTTCCCCCCAGAGGCGCGACACTCCCCCAATATATACCTGTGCTGACACAGACATCCCCTAAAAGTTGCTGAAGATGTTACCTAGTCTGGTAAGAATCGTTTGAAGCCAACCCACAAACTCCAAGGATGAACCTTCATCCTCATCCTACACTCAAACTACAGCTATTCGCCACTATTGCAAACTTTGAGTCTATTTAAACAATTATTAGAAAGTAACATTGCTCTCTGTGCCAGTCATTGATTCTTTTTCCTCACTGCGAAAATTTTTTACATTTATCCCTCATAACCACATCTCTCTTTTTGGATTAAACAGAGCCATTCCCATCAAACTGCCAAAGGAATGGAAGGAACTCCTCTGGAAAAACGGTAACTTTTGCCTGGAGATACTTAGTTATTTGCAACTCTCTACTCTGAAAAATCCTCTTTATGAAAACACTGAGAATATGGCTGAATAATCTGTGTTTTTGCTGGTTGAATTTGTATGTATAGCATTGGCTTCCTGCTACATTCCCCAACTGGTCCCATATGTCCCCCTCTCCTCTTGGCAACTTTAAACTATTTTTAGTGCTGAACTAATGCTAAACTTGAGATTGCCAAGGTAAGCGTGCATGCTAACAAAGCCAAAAATCCCCAAAGAAATACATGGTTACCTGCAACATGCACTCTTAAAACTTGGGAGACAATTGCCAGTGTGTGTTTCAGCATAAGAGGCAATTAAGCTTTCTATTACCTGCACACTGCTTCTACGTGCACAGAAGTGTCTTGTGACTGAAAAGGCCTTTTGAGTCCATTTTGAGAAAGAGAAATATATACCATGTTTCCCCAAAAATAAGATCGGGTCCTATATTAATTTTTGCTCCAAAAGAAGCATTAGGGCTCATTTTCCACTTAGATCTTATTTTGGAGAAAATATGGTACTAAATGCGTCCGTCTGGCTGATGATCTTAACTGAGGCTTATTTTAGGGAAACAGGGTATACATCTTTCATATAAATGATAAGAGTTTGTGTAATCTTCCAATACAGAAATATATGCCACGTTTTGTTTGAATATTGTCAAAAGGGTTTTATTCAGGCTAGGATCTCACCATTTTTCTTTTTAATTGTTTGTTTAAGGACACTTCTGGATAGAATGGAGAGGGGTACACTTGAAAAACAGGTGTGTAAATGCATAAGTGACCATTGGTGATCTGCTACTTAGTTATTGGATCTGAACAACATGGCCCCACAAGTATTATAGATGTGGCTTAGGCAAGCCTGAATTTAATAATAATTTAATAATAATAATAATAATTATGAAGATGGTAGAGGACAGGAAGACCTGGAGGAACGTTGTCCATGGGGTCGCGATGGGTTGGACACGACTTCGCAATTAACAACAACAACAACAACAACAATAATAATAATAATAACTGGAGAAGATAAAAAAATACAAAGACCTACAAATAGAAATAGAAAGACTGTGGCAAAAGCTAGCAAGGGTAGTACCAATAGTAATAGACTCCTTGGGTGCAATCCCAAAACAACTGGAGCACCACTTGAACACCATTGGCATTGGCAAATTCGCTATTAGTCAATTGCAAAAGGCAGCCTTACTAGGAACTGCTTCCATCCTGCGACGATACCTGTAATACCATCAAACATTCACATCTGCCTATCCCAGGTCCTGGGTAAGGACTCGATAGGTAGACAAAATCTGGCCGACTGTGCGATGATCCATAATAATAATAAAATAATAATAGTGTGACTGGATGGTGGATTTTTTGCAGATTTTGCAAGCTGCCTGGAATACTTATGTGTGAATCAGACAGTTACATAAATTTGTTTAAATAAATAAATAAATAAATAATCCTGTCATTTTGGGTGTGTATTAAACTCAATGAGGCTTAGTTCTGAGTACGTATACTTTAGGATTGGGTTGCAGTGTTTAACATAGGTTGGCTTTTACTTGGCAATTGATGTCTAGAGCCATCTGTTGTACTCTCTAAATGTAACTGTTCACCCATTGAATTTTAAAGTCATCTAAGCCATCACTCCATGTTGACACTAGTGTGGATAAAGATGGCAGTTTCCCAGTCATTCCTCCTGAATTTGCCACTTTCCCTCACTTGTCTCCATTTCTTCTGGATCCTGTAAGCCAATCTGTTGTCTTCAGGAACAGGAGGCACCCTGGTTTTCTGCCCACATAGAAGTAATTCAGAACCACTCTGGCTTCTCTGTGTAGAGGGAGAAAAAGACAGTTGTAATAATCAATGGTCTTGATCCCAGCCTGTCCTATACCTGTGATTTCTAGATGACTGACAACTTGAAATGTCCAAATATATGCTACAGTATTTAGAAAAAAGCAGTATTTTGAACCTTTTTGGTAGACATTTTTATGACATACTGTAGTTCCCACATTGTGCCAAACTGTGAATGACCAGAAAATTATTTCTGGAATAAATCACAATGGCTGGATTCACAAAAAATTGAAGGGAAAATATGGCTTGTTTATAACTTAATGTGTGAAGTGTATTGAGTCAAGTACACAAACCATGTTGTACAGTTTTATGTATTTTGTCTATTATTCCTATGGGATCTTTTCAGAAGAAAAGTTTTGCTACAACCAGTTGTGACTTATTAAATATACCAATATTAACAAACATGGCTTGTAGAGGTTTTGTATACTGCAAGTATATTTGTATCAACCAGATGAATTGATAAAAGCCTCATTCCCAAACAACATTAAAGCATGCATTCAGCTCATAGATCATAACTAAACCCAAATTAAATGACATATATTAAGCCCAACACCACTTGCAAAATTTAGGAATACTAGGACTGGAGAACTTTTTTTAATTATAGCTACTAACTACTAAGGTTAATGGCTACTAACACTAATTGGCAGAAATACAAAATATGTTCCAGGATTCCCTATCATAGATAGAGAGGGAGCTAAAACTGGTGACCTAATTAGGAGTTCACAATTAAGTTTGCTCTAATTTGCTAGTCACATATTCCTTCAGGAAGAACCTCCATTCCACGAATTGGAATTTGAGATACAAATAAAATGATAATGCAACATGTAAATTAAAATCTTTGAAGCTTTATGATCATTTTAAACATCCTTTCCTCATGCTCAGACGTCAGTATCGTCATTTGAAAAGCCTCTTTGGTTTAAAGATATGTATCAACCTCTGGAGGAAATAAGGAAAAAAGACATGATTGATAAATTACATGATGAAGAGTCCTCAGAAAAGGAAAACATATACAATTGGGCTAGTGCAAGGTATTGTCTCTTCTCTTCCCTTCCCTTCCCTTCCCCTCCCCTCCCCTCTCCTTTCCCTTTCCTTTTCTTTTTCCCTTTGGCGCATATTTCAAGAAAGAAACTGAAAAAAAAATATGATGATGATGATGATGATGCATTCAGTCATGTCCAACTCTTGGTGATTCTATGGGCCAATCCTCTCCATATCTTCTGATCTTGCAATAACTTCTTTGAGTTTTTGTCTGCTCTGGCTAATGTCAGATTTAATGGTGTCCAGCCACATGTTCTTTGATGACCTGACTTCCTTTTACCACTAACTCTTCCAAATACCTTTGCTTTCTCCAGTGAATTCCCCTGCATGACATGGCCAAAGTAAAATTATAGAGGGAATAGTCCCATTTTGTAAGTTAGAGGACATCTTTATTTTTTTCATTACAAAATTCTTGGGACAAATTTGGATTTGTTCAAATTTATATTACTGCAATGCACTTTACATGGGGCTGTCCTTGAAGATCATTTCAAGTGCCCTTGAAGGCACTGGTCCAAAAACAGTGGCACGTGCAGTATTGGGTGTTCCTGTGTTTGCCCGTGTTACACTTCTGTGGTAGGAGGTGTGCTGTCCCCGTTTCCTTCTGGGTGTAATTCAAGGTGCTGGTTGTCACTTTTAAATCCCTACATGGCAGGGACCAGGATATTTGTGGGATCACTTCTCCCTGACAGTATCTGCCCATCCTACCAGATCAGATGGGGTAGGTATGTTCCAGGTCCCTTCCCTGAAGTCCTGCCCTCTAGTGGGAGCTTGGAAGTGTGCCGTTTCCTGTGGCTGTGCCTACCTTATGGAATACTCTTCCCCAAATGATTCAGCAAGCCCTCAGTCTTTTAGCCTTTTGGAAGGCTGTCAATACCTGAGTTTTTACCTGGGTGCAGGGATGGAAGAAATAATGTTTGAAGCTGATGGTGGTACATCCCAATGGGATGACTGAGAAGACGGATTTTTGTTCTCATTTTAGGGTCTTATAGTTATTGGTTTCATTGTTATGAGCCACCCAGAATTATGGGCAGCCAGGCAAATGTTGAGAAGAATATAATATAATATAATATGGTAGGGTAGGGTAGGGTAGGGTAGGGTAGGGCAGGGCAGGGCAGGGCAGGGTAGGGCAGGGCAGGGTAGGGCAGGGTAGGGTAGGGTAGAGTGGAGTGGAGTGGATGGAATGGAGCAGAGCGGAACGGAGCGGAGTGGAACAGAACAGAATAGAGCTGGAAGGGATATTGGAAATCTTCTAGTCCAGTCCCCTGCTCAAGCAGGAGACCCTATATCATTTCAGACAAGTGGCTGACCAGTCTCTTCTTAAAAACCCACAACGTCTGAAGGCAAGCTGTTCCACTGGTTAATTGTCCTTACTGTTAGGAAGTTTCTCCTTAATTCCAGGTTACTTCTCTCCTTGATTAGTTTCCATCCATTATTTCTTTGTCTTGCCTTCTGGTGCTTTGGAAAATAAATTGACCTCCTCCTCTTATGGCAGCCTCTCAAATACTGGAATACTGCTATCATGTCCCCCCTAGTCCTTCTTTTCTCTTCTTCCATTCTCAAATTCTGCAATAGTTCTTCATATGTTTTACTCTCCAGGCCTTTAATCATCTTAGTTGCTTTTCTTTGCAAATAAACTGAATAGAGGTAAAAGTGTGGCATTCTATAGAACTTTTTCTTCCATCGAAAAAAACCACAACAATACTGCAAGAATTAATAATGTGTGAAACTGTAGATGTTGCCTTTGCAGACTGCAAACTTTGGTTGTTCTATTCATACACTGTTTCTATAGTTTGCTGGGGATACTAATTTGCTTTTCTGGCTGTGGCTGTTTTCTCTGAACATAGGCAGAGGAAATGTATGTAATATTGTTTTGAAAATAAGTTTGTTTACAACCTTCTTATACAAAAACTGTACATTAAAACTAACCATACAAGTTGCAAAAAAAAAATTACACCTTATTGTTCTACAACAAACTCTGTAATTTCTGCTCTTCTTTACTTATCAGACCTCCAGAAATCCCTGAGCTTATTCCTGTGGAAAAACTGTAAGTAACTACATGTGCTACAAAACAGTTACTAATATTTGTGTGTTAAATTTATATTTACTGACAAAGAATTAAAGGGAGATTACTTTACTAATATTGTTTACCTGTTTAAAATTTCAAGCACCACAGCAATTCTTCTGCATTTTTGTTGAAATAAAATTATTAGAAGAGTTGTTTCCAACATAATTGAATTAACTGAGCAGAGTTAAAGGTATTGTAAGAACAGTTATGGTACTTCATTGAATGTTTTAAATTTTGAATATATTAGGTATTTTATACTATGTATATAGGGGCTTATGACCTGCAATACAGTGCTTTATTTTTCAAATGTAACTATATTTTCCTCATATTTTAGCAATCCAAAAGTGAGGATAAAATTAAATTAACATTTTAGAAACAGCTACAATTGATAGAGATCCAGTTTGATGCCGTGTTTTAGGCACCAGGAGAGAAACCAGGAGATGGTGAGTTCTAGTCTCACCTTATGCCAATTGGGTGACCTTGGATCAGTCACTTTCTGGGAAGGAGGGAATGGCAAACCACTTCTGAAATCTTTCCAAGAAAACTGCAGGGACAAGTCCAACCAGTTCCAGGAGTGAACATCAATATGATGTGTGAACAGATGTGCCTTTAACGAGTAGAAGCTTTCAGGTTCAGCATCAGTCCTAAAGGAACTGCAATAGAAATCCTTTATATTTGACTTTATCATACCATTAATACTCATGTCATTCAAACCTTAATGTTGATTTTAATAATCATTTTATTAGACGCGCCATATTAAGAGTTTGGAATAAATATAAAACAAGTTTTTTTACAAAATTGCCCCTATGGGTGTCCCCCAAGAAACTTTTTTTTAGAAAAAAAATGGTGGTGAAGCCGGACTAGTGGATGTATGGTAAAATGGTATCTTTCAATTCTGGAGACCCCATCCTCAAGTCTAGGGAAGAATTTACATATTAACAAATGAAGAATGGTTTACATATTAACAAATGAAGAAAAGATTTAAGCTAGACAAAAAAAGGCCATGGTTTTTAGTTTGTTAATAATGAAATCCGACTTCCGGTGGTGTCGCGATGTGAATGGCGGCTATCAGATATCAGCTGTTCCACGGTTTAAAACCTCCTTCCTGGGCTAAAGGAAGGAGGGGAGTTTTACCCTGAATAGTGGTAGAGCCTCTGAAACCCCCCAAAAAGTTTTTTTTGGGGGGGGCGAAAAGAGTGCTCCCATGGAGTTCAGGGAATCTCCGCTTCTCAGCTGTCTTTGTTCCTTGTCGTTTGGGACAAAGCAAGACACCGCTCCCACCTCCACGATTAAAGAGAACTGGTGAGTTATTTTAAAAAAAAGCGGACAAAGCTGATCGGGGAATCTTTACTTTTTAGATTTATTTGGACTTTAATTTTAAAGAATTATTTTCACTTTCTCTTTTTTTTGGTTGAGAGGGAAAGTAAAATGGCGATGTGAGGCTTTTTTTTGAATGCTTGAAAGGAAACGGAACGGATTTTGTTACTTTGTTACTTTTTCTTTTTTTCTTTTTTTTGCTTTTTATTATTATGGTTTTTTGAAAGAGACTTGGGTTTAGTTATTTTCCCTCTCTTTTGTTTATCTTTTTATTTTTGCTAGGGATCTCTTTGTACTTTTTTTTTTTAAGAAGGAGGAAAGAAAAAAAAATTCTTTTGTTTAAAATGGCTTCAAAACATCAAGTTTCCACAGTACCTAAGATGGCTTCTTCTCCGGCGATATTACCAGCCCAACAAACATCTTCTCCTCCTATACAACCACTCACGGTAAAAGACTTGCAAGATGTCATGGGAAATGTTATATCTCAAATTAGAGGAGAAGTGAAGGAGATTTTAGTGGAGAATAACAATATTTTGAGGCAAGATATAGTTTTGGCCCTAAAAGGACTTGCTTCTGTTGTTGAAAAGTTGGATTCTTGTGTTGAAGAAGTAGTAGATAAAGTGGATATATTGGAGGAAAAGTTTGAAGGAATGGAAAAAAAGATGGAAATTTCACAAGATGAAATTGTTATGTCTCAATACAGAGAGATGGAGTATGCTTTAAGAATCAGAGGCTTGAGGGAAAATACGCAAGAAAACGTGAGAGAGATGGTGGCAAATGACTTTGCTGTGATTTTGGACAGAGAAAAGGAGGAAATACTCGGAGAAATTGAAAAAATATTTATAGTTAATTCTTGGGTGGCAAAACAGAGAAATTTGCCAAGAGATGTGGTAATTTATTTTGGGAAAAGATCTTTACGCAATGAAATTATACAAGCTTTTTACAATAAGAGATTTCAGATTGCTGCACAAGATGTAATAATTTTAAAGGAGATCCCATCTAAAATTCTAAGAAGAAGAAAAGAGTTTGCTTTTTTAGCAGATGAACTTAAAAAGAGGCAGATGCCATTCAGATGGGATATTCCGACTGGAATTGTGGTGAGTCACGCAGGGACACGTTATAGACTTAATACTGTTCTTAAAGCAAGAGAGTTTTATACTTCGGTCCTGGGAGCGCGCTCATCACCACCTATAATGTTGAAAGTTTTGGAAGAAAAGGAGGTAGAACAGCAGTCTGAAGAAGCTGTATTGATGAAAGCTGGGAAAATACAGACTGAGTGGTACCAACAAGCTGAGATGAAGGAGCAGAGAATGACTCGAGCAGCACATAAGCGTAAGGAAAAGGAACAACAGAAGAAGGAGGTTAAACAAGTTTTACAAGAATTTGTTTCTGAGCCTGTGGGAGGAGCAAGACCTAAGAGATCATCGGTGCAATCCTCGATGGCAGATCTCCAAGTAGTCTTCTCTAGGCTAATGGATGGAGGAGATGGCAAAGCTCCTGACCTGGAATGTTAACGGCCTTAATTCTCCACAGAAAAGGAAGAAAATATTTCATTATTTGAAGCAACATAATAATGATATTATTTGTTTGCAGGAAACCCATATTATTTCTAAAGACCAAAAATATTTAGTTAATGCCCGATTGGGATCTCATTTTGTATCCTTTGCTTCTGGGAAAAAAGGGGGTGTAGTTATTTATGTTAAGCAAAATTTATCAGCTTCTTTACTAGATTCCGATCCTGGAGAATAGCAGCGGTTAAAATGAATGTTTTGCCAAAGTTTCTTTTTTTATTTCAAATGATACCTATTTTGAAGAACGAGTTTAGATGAATGGCAGAAAGGTATTAATACATTTATTTGGGCAGGGAAAAAACCAAGAGTTAAATTTAAAATTATACAACATGTACGAGAGAGAGGTGGATTCAAGGTACCAAATTTCAAATTGTATTATGATTCTGTGGTTTTAACACTGATTAGTGATTGGATTAATTTAACAAATGTAGATATACTCCTTTTGGAGGGGTGGGATTTATTATATGGATGGCATGCTTATTTAATTTATAATAAGAAGGTGGATAGGGCTTTTAAGCCTCATATTTTAAGAATTTCTCTACTTCGAGTTTGGAAGAAATATTATAGAATAGACTCAAGAATTCCATTATGGGCTATCCTGGGGCATGAAATAGAAGGAATAAGGAAAGGAGTGAAGATGGATAGTATTTCTTATAAACAATTACTTAATTGGGATGGGAAGAATTGGCAATTAAAATATATAGATGAATTAGCACAAGAAAATATTATTTATTCGTGGTTTCAGTATAGACAATTATTGGAAAGGTGGAAGATAGATTATAAAGTGGGTTTGATTAGAGAGGATGAAAATTTGTTGAAACAAATTAAAGATCAAAGTCCATCTCATAAAAAGAATTTATGATGTATTAGTGGAGTTGGATTCAGAAACAGAATTAGTTAAAAATCGCATGGTTAAATGGGCTCAAAATTTGGATGAGCCGGTTTTATTAGAAACATGGGAGATAATTTGGGTGAGGAATGTTAAATTCATGCAAGCTCAAAATTTACGGGAAAATTTTTATAAAGTGTTTTATAGATGGCACCTTGATCCACAAAAGATGTCTCATATGTATTCAAATTTGCAACCTAAATGTTGGAGATGTGGTTGTTTGGATGCAATGTATTATCATATTTGGTGGTCATGTAAAAGTATAAAAGCTTTTTGGACAAAGATATGGTGGAATATTCAAAAAATTTTTAAGAGAAGGCTAAAATTCACTCCACAATTGTTATTGTTAGATATTATTGTTGATTGTAATGATAAAGAAATTATTTTAATGTTAAATTTAATTACAATGGCAAGGTTGTTGATAGGACAATATTGGAAGAAGGAATTTTTGCCTACCTTGGAGGAATGGTTTTTTGAAGTTTCTTATTTATCTGAAATGGCAAAAAGTTCGGCTTATTTGAAAGATCAATCGCAAGAGAAATATCTCTTGGTGTGGAAAAGATGGATAAACTTTATATAGTATAAGTATGATATTAAAAGATATTATTTAGCTTTTGAATAATTTATGTTTAAAGTTTAAAGTTTAAGATAATAAGTATTTTTTATTATATATATATATTGGACTTTTTTTATTATATATATATATATAGGATTTTTTTTTAAATGTAACTTTTGTTTGAGGTTTACTTAAGTTTAAATGTTTTGTATTCTTAGTTCTAGTTAACCCTGTATTCAGCTCTGGGAAGAGGGGGGGAGGGTTTTTGGGAGGGTAGGGAGGTAGTGAGAGAGGGATTTTATTGTAAAATTGTAAAACTTTTAATAAAAAAAATGAATTGGAAATCCTACTATGTGGTAGTGATGATCATATAATTGCCAAGGTCTATAAAATGTTATTAAAATTGAATTTGGAAAATGAACATGTAAAACACCATATGATCCAGTGGGCAAGGAATTTTGGGTACAATGTGATGTTTGAACCATGGGAGAATATGTGGATAAAAAGTTTTAAATTGACATTAAATTATAGCCTAAAAGAAAATTTCTACAACATGATGTATCATTGGTATTTAACACCAGTTAAGTTATCTAGAATGTATAGAACAGTGGTTCTCAATCTGTGGGTCGGGACCCCATTTGGGGTCGAACGACCATTTCACGGGGGTCGCCAAACAAGGCTGTCCGCCATTTTTCCCCCTTTTCTTTGGCCACGCCCCTGGCACCCGTTGATGTATAAGTGGTTGGGGGTCACCACAACATGGGGAACTGTATTATGGGGTCGCGGCATTAGAAAGGTTGAGAACCACTGGTATAGAAGTATTTAAAATGAATGTTGGACATGTGATAAGGCAAAGAATATTGGGAGTAGGATTCATATATTAATGAAGAAAATTCTTAAAGTGAACATAAACATTAAACCAGAAACTTTCCTTCTGGCCTAATGGAAAGAGAACTGGGAAAAAAATTTGGAACTCTGATTTTATATATGGTGACTGTTATATCCTGGGCCGACAGGCACAGGCTGCAGCGATTGGCCGGGCAGGAAAAGATCCCTTGCAATGATTGGCCAGCAGGGTACTGTGCAGGGGGGCTATAAAAGGGGGCTGCACCATTTTGCAATCTGTTCTGTTGGTGTTTGCAATAAAGAAGGACTGTGTGACCGTGCTTTGTCTCAATGCCTCTTCTTCAAGAACAGAACTGTTAGAGAATTTTAATTTCTCTATTAGTGAAAAATAAATCAGAAGCTCTCACAGTTGTCTGCATTTAGCTGATTCAAATAACTTTATATTTATATAAAAATATTTACAATACCATTCTTCTTTACAGCAACATAGCTTAATGAAGACTTCTTACAGAGACAGACCAGAGACAAAACCTTGAGACTGGAAAATCCAGCTCCTAACTCAATACTATTTTGCACAGACTCAGTAGCACTTTCTTCCCTTTGGCTGACTGAGTTACCACATGACTCTTCCTGTTCATGAATATTCCAACACTCCTCCCTTCATGACAGGAAGAGACATCAGACCTTAATATACTTATTTAATCGTGAAAAACCTTGTGCCACTAACCTGGCCTTATACTGTACATCATTATTTGGCAATACCTTTTTCTTATATACCCACTTACAACCCACAGCTTTGATTCCCTGTGGCAAAGACACTGATTTAAATACTTCATGGTCTCCCATGGATTTCATCTCTTTATCCATGGCCTCCTTCCATCTTTCTTGTTCAGCTTTTGCTAATGCCAACACCTCTTTATAACATCTTGGCTCATACCACACATTGCAAACCTTTACCTTGCTGGCAGAATACCTGTCTGGCGGAATTCCTTTGTTACATCGCTCTGACCTACGTGGTATTAACTGCTCCTGTGTCTCAAGTCTATCTGGATTCATGTCTTGTTCATGTCTTTAAATTTGCAACATTTAGAAACTGTTCATCATCTAAATTCAAGATGAGATAAGCCATTGCTTTATCATGACTTTTCTGATCAGCTGCTGCAAACACTTGTGGTCGATTTTCTACAATATACCACAGCTCTTTAGCTTTCAGCAAACATTCCATTTTTGCAGCCCACACAATGTAATTCTTCTGGCCTAAACGAGCACAGAGCTTTCCTTACATTCCATTGCAGCCATTCTGTTAATTCTGCCTTGTTCTTATACTTTCTAAACACAGGCAATTTCTTCCAGCTTTAAATTACAATGCAGTCCTTAGTAAGCTCTGGGCCCATAACCTGTTAGAGAATTTTAATTTCTCTATTGGTGAAAAATAAATCAGAAGCTTTCACAGTTGACTGCATTTAGCTGATTCAAATAACTTTATATTTATATAAAAATATTTACAATACCATTCTTCTTTACAGCAACATAGCTTAATGAAGACTTCTTACAGAGACAGACCAGAGACAAAACATTTTCTTCCCATTGGCTGACTGAGTTACCACATGACTTTTCCTGTTCATGAATATTCCAGCAAGAACATTGGCAATGAAGGTGGGATGCCTGCAGGGGAAATGAAGTAAGAAGCTAGGCTGACTCACCACGGGAGGCTTGCAGCTTGGAGGAGGGGTGTCTGGCGATTGCGACTCGGCCTGTCAGCACAGAAATGCTGGAGGTGAGCTTAGTGAAGGGGGGCCCTTCTCAAACCCTGCAGCAAGAGGTGTGGACGAAGTTCCTGGGCTGCAACGATGGCGAAGATAGGCCGGCTGTCGAAGTTTGACACAGTTCATCCAGAACGATGGAGCTCGTACGTGACCCGGGTGGACAACTACCTCCGGGTGAATCAAATGCGCGAAGACGGCCTCAAAGCTGCCACGTTGCTGTGGGGGGGGAGGGACAAGAGACCTTCGATATTGAGGAGAATCTGGTCGCCCCAGCACCACTGGAATCAATCACCTACACTGACTTGAAGAGGATGCTTTAAGAGCATTTCGAACCCAAGCTCTCAGTGATTGCCTGGTGACACGCGTTTGAGCAGAGGGACCAGAGGCCTGGTGAGTGTGCTGCAGAATTTGTTGCGGCCTTGCAACAAGCAGCTAGGCCCTGCGAATTCAAAGACTTGGAAGAGATCGGCTGGTCTGTGGCCTCGGAAGCCGGAAGTTGCAGCAGAAGCTCTTCGCGAAGGAAGGCCTCACGGGAACTGAGGGAAGTTTCAGCTGAAGAAGCAGCAGGCAGAGCTGTGAAGGCCTTGCGGCTTGCCAAGCCCCCTCAAGTTCCAGCCACCGTCCATCAAGAGGTCGCTCACGAAGAATCCAAACAGGATCCAGAATCGGAAGTGGACCAGCTGCATCAGGCTCCGGAGAGAAGGCCTCACAGAGGGAAGGCCCAGCCAGCATCATCCTCTAGGTGTGTCGGGTATGGAGGCCGACATCGCCACGCAGACTGCCATTTCCACTCCGCCATCTGCAGGGTCTATGGTAGGCAAAGCAACATTGCTCAGTTTGTTTGGGTCGCCAGAAGTAACGTTACCCAGAAGAATTGCCTTAGAAAGGAACCAGAGTCCACAGCCAGGTGGGCTTCTGTGCATCACGTAGGAGCATTTTTAGAACAGAGGTCCACAGGCCACTTAGGAAGAAGTTTCACATCAACGTGAAGTTGCAAGGGGTCCCCTTGTTGATGGAGCTGGACACAGGGTCCGCTCTATCGATCATCTCCCTAGACACCTTTAACAAGGTCTGCAGCAGAAGCGGCCTACGGGTCAAACCTCATCCTCACAGATTTCCAAAATTCCAGAGTCAACGTGAGGGGAGATGCCACGCTCATGGTGCAGTGGAGGAATTTTGAGGGGCTGCTAGATGTAGTTGTGGTTGGGGGAGACTGCACGAGTCTGATTGGACTCGATTGGTTTGAAGCCCTTGGGATTCAGGTGACTGGAATAAACAGTGCAAACAACAGGCCTGGCAGGGGTCTGCAAGGAGTTTGCAGATGTGTTTAGTCCAGAACTTGGCTCCTACAAAGGCCCTCCTATTTCTCTGAGGCTAGACCCAGCTATAGCCCCCATTAGAATCAAGGCACGCAGGGTGCCCTTTGCCCTAAGGGGTAAAATAGATGCAGAGCTGGATAAACTGATTCAGTAGGGTATCTTAGAGCCTGTGGACAGCAGTCCATGGGAAACCCCCATAGTTACCCCACTGAAGGCCAATGGTGAAGTCCGAATCTGTGCGGACTACAAGTGCACACTTAACAAAGCACTGCAGCAGCATTCATACCCGATACCTGTGGTCAGCCACATTCTAGCCTTCCTCAAGGGGGGGACGACAGATCTTTGCTAAGCTTGACCTGGCTCGGGCCTATCAACAATTGCCAGTTGATGAGGCAACAGCTGAGGCCCAAACTATAGTGACTCACAGGGGGCATTCAAGGTAAAAAGATTGCAATTTGGAGCAAACGTGACCCTTGGCATTTTCCAGAGTTTAATGGAGCGAATGCTCTGGAATATCCCTGGTGTTTGCCCATACTTTGATGATATCCTCATCGCTGGGGACTCAGCTGATAATTTAGCCGAAAGGCTGAGAGCCGTTTTGCTACGTTTCCGCCAAGCGGGGCTGAAGCTTAAGCAAGACGCTTAAGATTGGGGTTAGCTCCACTGAGTTTCTAGGATTCTGCATTGATGCTCAGGGCATCCACCCTGCTGAATCCAAGCTGCAAGCAACTCAGCAGGCCCCAAGTCCCAAATCCAAGGGTGAACTTCAGGCCTTTCTGGGACTGTTAAACTTCTACCATGCATTCCTTCCCCACAAGGCTGCAGTGGCTGAGCATTACACTGGCTCTTGGACAAACAGGCCCCTTGGCAGTGGACACAAGTACATGAAAAAAGTTTCAAAGAGGTCAAGGCCTTGCTCTCTTCAAATGCAGTCCTAGCGCATTTTAATGAGAAATAGCCGGTGTGCATTGCCTGTGATGCAGCCCCTTATGGGATTGGGGCTTTGTTAAGCCACTTGAAGGCTGATGGGACACAAGTCCCAATAGCATACTACTCTAGAACCCTATCATCAGCTGAACGCAATTATGCACAGATAGATAGTGAAGCCTTAGCCATAGTGGCTGGCATAAAGAAATTCCATGACTTCGTATACAGCCGCCATTTCACAGTCTTTACAGACCATAAGCTACTGCTGGGGTTGTTCACAAACCCCACACATAATATCCCCACGAAAGCTGAGGTGGTCCATCTTCCTGTGCATATGACCATACACTGGTTCAAAAGTCAGGCAAAGACATGGGCCATCCAGATGGCCTCAGCAGGTTGCCATTACAGCAGGTAGAGGCAGATCCAGCACCTGCCAACCGCATCCTGTCCATTCAGGACTTGCCCGAATCTCCCCTCAATGCTAGGGAAGGATGCCAAGGAAGCGCTAAAAAGAACAACGACTGGTGATTGGCATCATCGGCAGGGAGACTTTTTGCTCTGCCAACACACAACTCCATGCACTTCAATGGGCCTGAGATGGGAACGCTGGCTAACCATGAAGCTGGACCGCCTCCATCCAGACCGGGCAGCTGCAGAAATAGCACAACCCAAGCCCCCCACACAATCAGCAATCGGTGACAAAGTTTGGGCGAGGAACTATGGTCAAGGGGCACCATGGGTGGTAGCTGTGGTTTGTAAGGTATCAGGGCCACAGTTGTATGAGGTGGCCCTGGAAGATGGTTGTGTGGTTCGGTGCCACATCAACCAATTGCAACAGCAGCAGGCTAATCAAACCCTGACCGCTGACAGTGAGGAGAACCGGTGAGTGCCAGGTGACTGCAACACACCTGAGTCCCGATTCTTGTGAGACTCGCAGGGAGAGGCAAGGTGACTTACGCATGTCCAAGTCACCACAAACTTCAGAGACTATGTCAACAGAAAGGGATTTGTTGACAGACTTGTTTCCCAGACTGTCAATGGGTGATGCAAGCACCAGTCTATCCAGCCAGGACATCCTGAGAGGCACCGGTCTACCCAGCCAGAACGTCCAGGAAGGCACCAGTCTACCCGAGGCGAGCAGCTCTAGGAACCCTGATATACCCGGCTTATCAAAGGGACTGGTAGACCAGGAGCCTCCAACGGCACTACAACGATTGGGGCAAGCGCGAAATCCGCCTGCCTACTTACAAGACTATATACATTATTGTGATATGTGATTACCTAGGGGGAAGGGGTGTTGTGTATTGAACCATTTTACAATGGCAGTTATAAAGCAGTTAAATGATTATGTTTAAACAAGTCTCTAACCGTTTGTGTATTGTTACAAGCCAGCACTTGAGGTGGCAAATAGTGCTTTAAATTCATTGGCTGCCACCTAGCAGCAGTCCAATATAAATAGAAGCCAAGCGGTTGTTAGAATCGCTTCTGTGTTGATTCAAATAAAGAGTTGTTAACCTTCCGACTACTCAATGCTTCACCAATCCCAGTATACAACAGAATGTATATTAAAAAAAACAGTTGCAGCTCACAAATTGAAAAATCCTAATCAGAATACTACCTTGCTCATAGACTTCATACTTTATGGTCCTTGACATCTTAAGCTAAATCAGTGTTTCTCAACCTCAACAAATTTAAAATGTGTATATTCTGATTTCCCAAATTCCCCAGCCAGCACTGGGGAATCCACTTGTTAAGGAGGAGAAACACTCAGAGGGAGGGAGGGAGGTCAAATTTTGCTAATCTGCTTTTTAAAACCTGCACCTATCTGAGCTAACTTGCAATGCAGGTAGGACACAAAGGAAGGAGATCCTTACAGATACTCTCAAGCTTCTCTCTTTCATAATGAAAACAACAGTCATTTTGTGACTATAGTTATGCAGCTGGGATTTAAAAGAGACAATTTCACAAACAGAGCTTATATACTCTATGTCCCCTCCCACCATAACTGGGCGTACCGGATATCTGGAAAGATCCCAGTTATGAATTAGACATGAAGGTATCACAGACTCTTCATCTTGGTGGCAATTGTCACAAAAATAGAGGCCAGTGAATGAACACAGCTTAGGTTTCACAAAGTAGAAGCCAATCTGCCTGGAGCAGCCTGGAAAGGAAAGACAAAATGTTAGGGATATCTTAAAATGCCAGAATCTGACTCCTGGTTATTGGAGAAGCTTTTGCATTTAAACAGCCTATTCCCCAATTGCTGTCTCCAAAGAAGTCAGTTTTCCGTTTCCACAATCCATTTGCTGATTAGGCCACTGCCTATAATAACAGGAAGCTATTAGAGTTGAACCAAAGTTGTCAAATCAGCTATTGCTCAGCCTTAGTCTCTAGATCTGTGTTTCTCAAGTATGGATGTGCCTGTGTGTGTAATATGTGTACACACACACACACACATACACACGCACGCCTCCTGCCTTTATTACACATCAATATATTTTTATCTATTGCTCTTTATTTTTAGCAGAAAGAAAGGTCAAGACCAAAACTGTTTTAGAACAGAACTATTTGTTATTCTGATTTTAGTGGATAGAAATATAATAACTGTTCTACTCTGTGGCTGGAAGGAAAGATAGATCTCTTCAGAAATCAGGAAATGTGGCCTGATCTTTGGCTTTATTATCAGATTTACTACGAAAGGTATAATCTTTAGCTTTCCTTTGGTTCACAAAACTATCTTAGAAGTAAAATGGATTCCCGTATTTTCTGGCCAATAAAAATTCCTGCATTTCATTGTGAGAAGCTCACAGGCACTATCTTGTTTCTAGACTGAACTCTATACTGAAGGATTCTTGGACATTTCCCAGTTATTCAAATTGCAAAAATTGGATATTTTTGAATAATTACAGATACAGGAATAGCCCAATGTAAGCAAGGAAATTCATTATTCATTCATTCAAACAAACAGAGAAAAGTGCAGTCAAGTCAACAAGTAGATTAGTCTATGGTCTATTTAGAGATGACAATGAAGATTATGAATTAGAGAACGATATCAGCAGCTGGCTTCACAAACTGCATTTGCTCATAAGACCTGCCTGTCACACATTGTCTGACCTTCCTACATCTTTCTTCCTGTCTACTTGCAACCTCTGAACATTTAATAGACCAGCTTTTCACTGAGCCAGAGATGAATTTATGCTAATTAGAGATTCACAAACAAAATCACTTCCAATAATCTATGCATGCGCCTCTAAAATTTTTCAAGCTTTACTTTACCATCTTCTTGGGCAAATAGCCCTGAAAATAAAGTGTGGTTTTGGCATTCAAAATGAATCAATTACAAAAAAAACAGAACAATCAGACATTTAAGGATTGCCCCCCTCCCCTTCAGTTATTCCAGCTTAAGAATTTCTTGTTATTTCTATTAGTTAAATTAATATTTAGTCATTAGAAGACTGAAGAGATCTAGTGAAACAAAGGCTTATGGTAATAATGACTTGTTTAAGACTTACGTTTTTCAATGACTTACCACTGCACAATTAATCTGAAGGGGCGTTGACTTACCTGAACGCCTTTTCTCAGCACGGAGATGGATAATCCACGCAGTGGGTTGAGACTGTATTCCTGGCCAATCAGATCAGTCAGCCAAAGTTGCCACGCCCCGTCTTGGACCATGATCCTCCAGTCTTGACTCGAGCGCAGCCATTGACTGACAGTAAGACGTTTTGGCTCCACTAAATATACCCTATTATTCTAGTCTATAAGGGTGGGTGTGGATTATCCATCTCCGTGCTGAGAAAAGGCGTTCAGGTAAGTCAACGCCCCTTCTCCAGCACTGGAGATGGATAATCCACGCAGTGGGACATACCAAAGCCTATTGTCCCTTGGGTTGGGGAATAGACTGGTCCCGTGTGTAACTTTGGTCTAGAACCTGCTGGAGAACCCTCCTACCGAAGGAGGCCTCTGCAGAGGAGTACTTGTCGATTTTGTAATGGCGAATGAATGGAGAGGGCGAGGCCCAAGTGGCTGCCCTGCATACCTCTTCAATAGAAGCCTGCATGGCCCATGCTGCTGAGGTGGCAGCACTCCTTGTGGAGTGGGCCATGATATGCTTGGGGACTTGCAAGGACTCCGCCTGGTATGCCCCAGTGATGCATGCCCTAATCCACCTACCGATGGTAGAGGACGAGATCTTCCGGCCCCTATTAACGGGGTGGAAGGATATGAAAAGCGCTTCCGAGCGTCGGAATTCCGCTGTGCGCGAAATGTAATGTCTTAGTGCCCTTCGTACGTCCAAGGTGTGCCATTGTTGCTCCAGGGGATGAGCTGGGTTTGGACAGAAGTCTGGTAGGACTATTTCCTGTGATCTGTGAAAAAAGGAGTTGACCTTTGGAATGAATGAAGGGTCTATTCTTAGGACTACCTTGTCCCTGTGAAAATGACACAGGTCCTTCCTCGTTGAGAGAGAAGCTAACTCGGATATCCGTCGAGCTGACGTGATAGCTACTAAGAATGCTACCTTATGGGTCAGGTAGCGAATGTCACATGTTTTGAGTGGTTCGAAGGGCGCTCTGGTAAGAGCTTGTAGTACTCGTGGTAGTTCCCACGATGGATACCTGTGCACGGTTGGCGGTCTGATGTTCGCAGCCCCCTTGAGGAAGGATCGTATTAAGGGATGCTGGCCCAAGGATTCACCGGGGCTGGCAGAAAGTATAGTTGAGAGGGCGGCGATTTGCCTGCGCAGCGTGTTTGGCGAGAGGTCCCTCTCTAGGCCATCTAGTAAAAATTCTAGGATCTTGGGAACTGTGATCCCTTTGAGTAACAATTCCTGTTTAGAGCACCATGATTGGAAGCTTCTCCATGTGGCCTCGTAGATACGGTTCGTGGAGGGGCGCCTTGATAACTGTATGACCCTAATTACACCCTGTGAGCAAGCCCCCTTGGCTAAAATTGACCGTTCAAGAGCCAGACGGCTAGTTGTAGCCATTGTGGCTCTGGGTGGAAGATCTCCCCCTGCTTGAGGGAGATCCTCTCCGGAGGAATCCGCCATGGATTCGTGCGGGAGAGACTCCTCAAGTCTGCGAACCAAGGTCTCCTTGGCCAATAAGGGGCCACCAGGATTACCTCGGCCCTTTCCCGCAGAATCTTGCGTACTACCGCCGGAAGGAGAGGTAAGGGTGGAAACGCGTATAGGAGTCCCCTTGGCCATGGGCTCCGTAACGCGTCCGTCTGGTCTGCTCCCCTGGATGGGAATCGGGAGAAGCGAGTTAAGTGGGCATTGGAAGGAGAGGCGAAAAGGTCCACCTGGGGAAGCCCGAAGCGGTGACAGATCTCCCTGAAGATCCTCGGGTGTAGTTGCCACTCCGAGTGATCTATTGTTGATCTGCTCAACAGATCTGCTTGGATGTTTGCCTCCCCCGATATGTGGTCGGCCTTTATGGAGGCCAGATTTTGTTCCGCCCAGGCCCCCAGTAGGAGGGCCTCGGCCGAGAGCGAGCGAGAGTGTGTGCCCCCCTGACGGTTTATGTGGGCCTTGGCTGTCACGTTGTCCGTCAGGACCAGTACGTGCCTGCCTTTTATGCTGCTGTGAAAATGCCTTAACGCTAGGTGAATAGCCCGCAGCTCGAGCCAGTTTATGTTGTGTCGGAGATCCACCGCTGACCAGCGGCCCTGTGTCCACTTGGTCCCCAAGTGGCCTCCCCAGCCGAATAAGCTCGCATCTGTTGTGACTACTACTCTGTCTGGTTCCCTGAAGGGGGACCTCCTGAGGAGAGCTGGAGATAGCCACCACCTGAGGGAGTGTCGTACTCTCAGAGGTATGCCTACCCTTTTCTGGGATGCACTGATTTGCTGTCTCTGAAACGGGAGCATGAACCACTGCAGTTCTCTTGAGTGCAGCCTTGCCCAAGGAACTATTGCTATGGTCGATATCATCTTCCCTAGCAGCTGGGAGAGGCAGACCAGTGTCACTGACTGACCGCGGCTTACCTGTTTTACGGCTTTCTTTATGCTGCTGAGGCGTTCCCGTGATAGGTACACCTTGCACTCCTTTGTGTCTAAGGCCGCTCCCAGATGGAGTATTCTCGTAGTTGGGGTTAGATGGCTCTTTGGAAAGTTCACCGAGAAGCCGTGGTCCTGCAGCAGTTTTATCACTAACTTTAGGTCCGCCCGAGACTGCTGGGCGGACGATGACTGGATTAGAATATCGTCCAGGTAGCACTGGACTCTGATCGGGACGTTTCTTAGGCGTGCTGCCAGAACCGCCAGAATCTTGGTGAACACCCTGGGCACTGATGACTGGCCGAATGGAAGTGCCCTGTATTGAAAATGGTGCCCCCTGTAGGCGAACCGTAGAAAGCGGCGGTGAGCCAGAGAGATAGGGATGTGTAAGTATGCCTCCGTGAGGTCGATCGATGCCAGAAAATCCCCTTTCCTTACGCTTCCAAGGATGGAGCGTAGTGTCTGTATTTTGAATTTGCGGTATTTTATGTAGAAATTTAGCCTTTTTAGATCCAGAATGGCTCTCCAACCCCCCGAGGGTTTTGGGACCATGAAGAGGATAGAATAAAACCCCTGGTCTCTCTGGTTCATAGGCACCGGCTCTACGGCCCGTATGTTTAGAAGGTGCTGAACGGCCTCGTTCATGAGCCTTCTCTTTGTTGGGTTTGTGGGACAGGGGCACGGGCGGAAGCGGTTCGGGGGCTTTGAGAGAAATTCTAGAGATAGACCATGACGTATGGTGTTCCTGACCCATACGTCCGTGGTGGTCTCTTCCCACTGGGGAGCAAACCCTGCTAGTCTGCCCCCTATGGGAAGGTCTGGGTGGGAGTCATCTGGTACGGCGGAAGGGGCGGTTGCTCCCCCGAAAGGGCCGTCTTCCCTGCGTTTGCCTATGTCTTGTGTTCTGTCTGTCCCCCTGTCTTTCCCTATCCTGTCTAGCTTGGAAGGGTTGGGAATTTTGAAAGTAGTTGACCCTGGCTTCCGTACGAAAGGATTGTTTCCTTCCCCAGGAGCCGGGTCTCTTGTCCTGCCTTTTAAGCATGTGTTTAAGGACCTTGCGCTTGTCCTTGTTCTCTGTCAGGTATGGCGTTAGTGCCTCACCAAACAGCTTTGCCCCTTGGTACGGAGCCGAAGCCAATTTCCACTTGGATTTGGTATCCGCCTGCCAGTTCTTTAGCCAGAGGATGCGCCTGCTCGTGTTGTTTGCCGCCATTGCCTTGGCTGAAAACTTGGTCGCTAAAAGTGTCGCGTCCGACGCATATTCCGTGGCCGCTACCATTTTGCTGAGTTCCTGGTGAGTGCGTATATCCTCCATGGGAACCCGGCCCTGTAACTCACGGAGCCAACAAAGTGTGGCTCTGGTGAAAAAGGACGCGGAGGTAGTCACCCTGGTAGCCCAAGCTATTGCCTGGTGCGTTCTCCTGTAGTTGGACTCACTCTTTCGGTCCTCGGCTTTAAGAGCCTCAGCAAAATCTCCTGATATGGCCGTGTCCGATATCAGGGGACCTATGGGTTCGTCCACCACCGGCACCTCCAATGTTCCCTCTAGCTCCCTTGCTACGTTAAATAGCTTCCTCTCCGCATTGCTAGGAAGCGGTAGGGAGGTTGGCGCTGCCCACTGTTTCCTTATTGTGTTTAGAAACATGGTCGGGCATGGTATGCGGTATTGAGTGGTTACCTTTTCGGCGAACGTCGGCTCAGCCTCCGTGTCAACTGTGACAGGCTCCGCTGGTGTCCCATGCCCCAGATGGGCTGTGGCCTCAGCCTTGCGCAGAATGGTAACAAAAAGAGAAGGGTTAAACAGGCCGCTGAAGGACGGCCCTTGAGGTGAGGTGTCCTCCTCTTCCTCAGACATTTGAATCCCTTGTGACGTACCTGGCTGGTCCAGGTAATCTTTCTCGGAGACCGACAAATCTGAGAAGGAGGAGAGGTCCTGATGGTCCTCCGTTTCCTCCCGATGCCTCGTTCTAAGTCCTAGAGGCTTGGCTTTGGAAGTTTGAGCCCTGGCCTCAAATGATCGGTCTACTGCCTGTGCTATTAGGGTAGCTAGCAGATCCCCCGTCAATGCAGGAGGAGTAACCATTGCCTGCGACCCTGCAGGTGCTGTGGTTAGCATGGTCCTCGGGGTTTCCTGTAACCTCCGTGGGGAGGGGGATCGGGAGAGCGATGAGAATTCGCCTATCCCGCCCTCTGTTTGGGACTGTGATGAGTTCCCTAATGACCAAATGCCCCATGGGGATGTAGGGAGACCCAGCGGTAGATCGGGACCTATCCCCCCATTCTGCCTATTTTTAATTCTGGCCCTTTTCTGGGCTCTGTCGAACTCTTTTTCTAGGGCTTGGTGTCTTCTGATTGCCTGTTTGTCAGCCTTCTTTGATGACTTCCTTGCAGCCTTTCTAGGGGCTGCAGAGGATTCCGAATCCTCTGAAGCAGGTGCTCCAGAGGATGAAGGCGGGGCTCCAGTGGAGGGAATGATTGCTTCCTCCATTCTCCACTAACGCCGGGCCGCGATAGGGGGGACCCAGGTAGTAGGAGAGCTCCAACTTTGAGTAAGGACAGGCGCACTACTGGGGGCGTCTGGAACTCAGGAGCAGACTCTGCAAAATTGTCAGAGTTAGTCACTGTGCACGGATAAGAACAGGCACGCTAATAGGAATGCCTGGAACCCGGCTTGACTATGGTGGGTAAGGACAGGCCCGCGACTGGGGATGCCTGGAACCCACCACTAAATCCAGAAGCGTACGGGCCACTAATGGGGGACCCGAAGTCCGGAAGGAGCCAAAGGCAACTAAACACAGTTAGCTATGAAAGGTTCTTATTTACTTTAGATTGAAGACACCAAGTCCTGGAACCCGCAGCTATGTGTCTGATTTGAATGTCTCTGAATGAATAATAGATGCTTTAGTACCCTAGTACTGCTTGCCTATTAATTCACTCCAGCGGCTGAACCTAGGCTTCTCAGGGAGCCTTAGATCCCGTTTGGACAAAAGTATGGCCGCCGCTGCCAGGAGACTACTGCGCATGTGTTAAAAGGAGCAGGAGATTATTGCGCCTGTGCTAAAAAGGCTGCCTGTGCCACGTGCGGTTGTAACAAAGAGCCACGCGTGCTCCCAGCTGTGCAGACAATGGCGCCTCGTTTAAAAATCCTGAGCAGCCTGGTGAGTGAAAGAGACTGCTCCTTCGCACGCCAGCTGTTTCCCTTAATCAATCTCCCTCCCAGCATGCGTCCCCTTTGTCCTCCGCTCCCCTCGCTAATTGCCTGCCTTTCTGTCTTTCTTTCTTTCTTTTTAACGCGAGGGGTTGCACGAGCCTCCCCGTTTGTTTAAGGCAGCTGCCGGCTGCTGGAAGGTGGTTGGGGTTTGGGTTAGGGAGGGCAGTTAGGGATTTCCCCCTTTTAAGTGGGGGTGGTTTCCCCTGTAGGGAATCTGACTTCCTGAGTCTTACAATTTAGCCAGGAAATTTTTGAGTAATCAATTAAATTGAATTAAATTATCTCTAATTAACTTTTAAACTAAGCAATTTCAGCTACTAGAAGAAATCCCCCCCAATGGAAAGGAACTATACCTGCCCAGGAGCCAAAGTTGTAGGTCTTTCTGTGTGGCCAGATCAGTCAAGACTGGAGAATCATGGTCCAGGACAGGGCGTGGCAACTTTGGCTGACTGATCTGATTGGCCAGGAATACAATCTCAACCCACTGCGTGGATTATCCATCTCCAGTGCTGGAGAACTTATGTTAACACTGTAATAACAATGACCACCAACATCTTGTGTTCTAAAATCACATTAAACTACAAATGAACACATGGAGAAGTAAAATCCTCAATCTTAGTTGTTTAACTGGAAGGGAAAATACATTATTTAAAAAAGGCTTGACATAAGTTATCTTTTTGCAAGCATCCCCTACGTGCCTACCTGCACATATGAAACTTTGGCAGTCCAGGCCTTTCTCCATGGGGATGGCAACCAGATACTGCAGCAAATATCCATTTTCCTTAACAGTATTCTTCAGGATTGCCTGTGAACTGCCATCCAGATGGCCTCCAAGTGTGAGGGCCTCCTCAGCCACTTCCAGGTAGGACATGAGCATCCGGCGGACCAGGTCACTCCAATCAGTTGCCTCCTCTGTGTTCTCAGCTCTCAACTTCAGCACTGCTTTTGAAGTGATGAT